ATTTCTTTTGTTCCTGATTCTTCAGCACACCTAACACCTACTTCTTTGATATGAAGTGATGATGGTTTCCATATTCTGAGTTCTTCCTTCTACCCTCACCCACACCAGCACCACTGCCAATTCCATATTCACCTTTATTCGCACAAATTATGCAAACCTTGGTCTGTGACCAGAGCTAATTTTGGCTGTTGAAATCTTGCTACGAATTCTCTTTCTCGAAGTCAAAGGTAAAGATTAGTACAAAAGTTGTGCTGGGGGTCTGCAAGACAAGTTTCATATAACTAACTATGCCTGAAGGTGCATATTTTTCTTCTGATGTGAAATTTATTCTATCATTCTCAATACAGTATCTCTCGTGTATATTTGTGTGTATATTTAAGCACAATACTTATATACTCACATGCGTACACACACACACACACACACACACACACACAGACATTTGGCCCAATCAGCAAAACTTTTGTATTTAAAACTTTTATTCATCTAAAACTGCTATATTCCAGAGGAGTAAAATATAAACAAAAAGGAGATATATACAACATGAGTCTATAATAATATTATTTAGAAAATATTAATAAATTCCTCAAAGCAATCAAAATATGAGTTATCCAATCCTGAAGGGAAAAGTTCAAATAAAAAAAAAGTGTTTGGTTCATTAATGTCTGAAATGTTTTTGTCAAATTCATTTCATTATTCCATTTTCTTTGCCAGTTATGGAAGAGTTGTGTCTCTTCTGTCATCCAGTGGGTTTTGAGTAAATTATTGCCAATTAAAGTTAACATTGATTTTATGACTGCATAATTTTCACTTATAATTAATTAAATTTGTCTTTCTATTTTAGACAGAGCCTTGAGCATTTTTCTTTCTTACACAGAATAGCTTAAGAATTTTTTTTTAAATTTCTAATTAAATTTTTCAAATAGAGTATCAGTTTCCAGGTGAAAGTCTTTGGATATACCTAATATTAAGTACTTTCAAAGATTTTCTAAAAAAAGAGCTTAATATGAAGAAAAAAAGGCCCTAAACTTGATAAAAACAAGGCTTTATCATCAATGTGTTTATGTTATTATTAAGAGGAAAGACCAAAGTATTTTATTAATTTTTTCATCCTATCTAACACATTCAAAATTTTGGTTAAAAATTTAGTTTTTTGGACTAAAGATTAGTATTGGAAATTTAGCATCTTTTTTGGCATTAAAAACACATGATTTTGGAAATTCTTGCAAAAATCAAATAATTGTTGGATTTTAATGAAATTTTCAGGACTTATTGACAAATGAATGCTATTTTAAAAAAATTATTTTTTTTAGAAAATCTTGGTAAAAATATATTTTTTTTACCTCTGTTACCTCCATTTACTTAATTTTAGGAAATTTCAAGAAATTAAAATTTCAGCCACTTCATATTTATATTAGTTAAAACAGGACACCTTGAAGAATTTCAATCATCTATTTGTTTTTGTCTCTGCTCTGAATAATAAAATAAAAAATGTAATAAAACTATTACATTATTTAATTAGAAAAGCTTTTAATTGATTTTATAAATAAAATGTACTAAGTATACTATTGTTTTAAGTAAAAAAAATATAATGATGAATTTTTACAAGAATTTTTTTATTTTTTTTAATTTTAATTAGAAAAATTTATTGTTTTAAATCTGTATTAATTTCAGCCTTTTAGATGATATTATTAAGTAAAAACTATATTTAATAATCATAAATGAAAAAAATACAAGTCATCAATCATCAATATTTTTAAAAGAATTTTGTATTATTTTGGCATGTGTATAAATATGCTGATTTTTGTAAGTACAAGATTATCAGAAAATAAGAGCAATAACTATAGTAGATTTAAAGCCAAAATTTCTAGAATTCAATAAAACATTAGAATACGGAGAATATCTTCCTAAACTTTTACTGAGTATTTAAAAGTTATATAAAAAAGGTGCTCACATCATTTTCTTCATTTATGTTTTACAGATAAAGTAAAATAACATTATAGTTGTTATCAGGATGTCAACATGTCAAAACAGCTACTGTTGGGTTAAAAATTGTATTTCTGTGATATCTTGAACTTAAAGTAAATGATATTTCTTTTAAATTGGATTAATTATACTTTAAATCAATTAATATTCATTAAATAATGTTACAGAGAAGTATATTTTATTTTTGGAAGATTTTTTAATAAAGAATTTTATTGTGATGAAAACAACTAAAAAAGGGCGCTAATCAGCTATTTTAGGAGGAAAAAAACTTATTCCAATCAATTTTAATTATTTTTTGAAATACAGCAAAGTGTTTTGCTTATTGGAAATATTAAATTTAATCTATTAGCTTGAAATTAAAATTATAATAAAAGCTTAAAGATTTTTCATTCTTAAAAATTCATTTTAAACCTTAAGTATCACATTTTTTGTGGAGGTTCAAGCATAATATATATAATCCACTCTTATCTTCAGAGTTTATTATCAATGGTGATCTTGGAACTTATCTACCAAAAAAATGACTATATATATATATATATATATATATATATATATATATATATATAAATATAGATAACTAGACTCGTTTCAAAAATCTATACATATATATATATATATATATATTGTTTGTATTTAATATATTTTCTGTTTATATGCTATTTTTATGGATACAACTTATTTAAGTAAATGCTCTGTTTTTAATTAACAGTATTAATTACATTTACCAGCATGAATATTTGAGAAATTTCATAGAAAATATATGTCCTCCAACAGAAATCAAACCTGTATCCCATATGGAAACTGTCATTTGACCTATGGGATACAGGTTCAATTCCTGTCGGAGGATGCATATTTTCTACGAAATTTATCAAATATTCAGTCTGGTAAATAATTTAATTAATACTGTTTAATTAAAAACATAGCATTTACTTAAATAAGTTGTATCTATAAAAATAATGTATAAACAGAAAATATATTAAAATATTTGTTGGATTTAATCCATTTCATATAATATATGTAGGATTAATACAAATATAAAATTTATCACTTGTAGCTAATTGATGTTATCATCAACATCTCACCTCTGGAGTTTCGTAGATGAACCTTTTTTGTAATTGTTCAGTTAACTCATGGGGAGGTTTCAGCAACTGACTTCTTTTTCTCATTTTTCATTATTCTTATACTAAGTTTGATGTAATTAATTAATGCGTTAGATGGGAGTTCTTATTATTGGTGTTAAGTTTTTTTTTTCTCTTTGTGTGTGTGTCTGTGTGTGTACTCTTGTGGACGTGGCAAATATTTCACCTATATAAAATTGCTTGTTACTCCTACAATGTAAACTATTCTCTCCTGACTAATGTTACCTAGAGACAAAACAGACACCCCAAGTAACCCTACTTTGACTGAGAAATACGACAAAAGCATACTATGTCACTCAAAGAGTTTTCTAGATCATAATAATTACTATCCAAATACATGCATGCACATATCGTTCAGAAATTTATATATATATATATATATATATATATATATATTATTTTTATAAAAAAAAATTATAACATAAGTATGTTTTCAACATCATCACTTGATAAGACACAGAGTGTGTTGAAACAAAATGGCTATTTTTGTACTGATTTTATAACATACTTATGTTATAATTTTTTTATATAAAAAATAATTATATCTGCTCTACTTTGTATTGAGCACTCTTTTAAGAATAGTAATTGTTGGTTATTGGAATTCATTCCGTATATACCAATTATATACTTGTATATATATATATATATATATAGTCATACACAGACTGTTTTGCTGTATCACAGCTCATCAGTGTGGCTACACATCTGATCACTTCAAGCTGGGACCAAGCCCCGACTGATTTGTCTGAGGTTCTAATCCTTAGGCTATTGGCACCCAGCAGAGATAGACAAATTTTTGTATATCTATTTTCTTATAAACACAGCAGTGACCTAGAGAACTCACTTCATTGGGAGAGTCTTGCATTTATAGCAATAATAGTCACTGTTTACAAGTTTGCACTTTCTCCCCACAGTGCTCGACTAAATTAATTGTGGGGTGGGGGGGAGACTAACATATATATATATATATATATATATATATATATAAAGAAATATAGTTTTAAGGTGTACTATATTTATGGGATAAAGTGCTCAATATCAGAGACAGAGCGTATGTAAATATAATTATAAAAGTGAACATTGAAGTCAATACTCAGATGTGACAGGCTGTTTCATGCTAGACAAAATCATGGCCTGACGATTGCATCTAGCATGAAACAGTCTGTCGCCTCTGATTGTTGACTTCAATGTTCACTTTTATAATTATATATATAATATTATATACCTGAAAGCATAAAGTCACTATCATTGGTTAGAATATGTTCGGAGTACTTCCTGGTGTACCTATAAGTATGTAAATACATGAATGCATTTATATATTTAGTACAAAGTTATATTTTTATTTTAGGCAATGTTCTAAAAACAGAGCTTTCCAAATATTTTGCATTGGCAATACACTTTAAAAATAAAATATTTTGCATTGGTAATACACTTTAAAAATAAAATATTTTGCATTGGTAATACACTTTAAAAATAAAATATTTTGCAACACGTTACTTTTTTACATACCTTTATTAACCAAGTGATGATGAAAAATATATATGAAAAGAAATAATGAAACATTTGGCTAATAATAGAAAAGAATAAAAGTACATATAATATTTATATAAGGCATTAAATAAATAAAATTATATGTACCTGTTTAGAAAGCTCTAATTTTGATGATTCAAGAAAATTTGAATGCTAATTAAAGTTTAGCCCACTTATCATTGGCAGATTGTAAAGTGTTTACCTTTTCAGGTATTAAATTGTTGATATATTTTCATCTCTGACTATGAATTTTGAGTTTGAGTTTTTTCCTATAATAATTGTCTGTGTGGAGTTTGTTTAGGAAGGTAGCACTAACAGCCAAAGATAGTGTTTTCTTCAAAAGCTTACAGCCATATCACATTGAAACACTAGTTTTCGTACGATCACCAAAGTTAAGCAATGTCGAGTCTGCTCAGTACCTAGATGGGTGACTGCTTGGAATACCAGGTGTTGTAAGTTCAGATGTATTTGTGATGTAATGAATAATGGCTCAGAATTGTTAATCGGAGAGCCAAGTTCCAAATCCTTTTAGGCTTATTATATTCATTTATGCACAGATACTCTTGGGAAAGTTATGAATTCACCTCTTGTCCCCCATGTATGGGTTAATTAGTAAGACATATCACTAAATGATTATTATCTTAAAAAATAAATTTAGAATCTAAAAATATTTTCTGGATTTAATTAACCTGCAAAGGTTTGACAAGCCACAGAAAATGGATGAATCAATAAAATTTTTCTTCATATAATCTTTCGTCCAGTTCACACACTTCCACAGTCTTTGAAAGTTTCTTCTAAAATTTTTTCCATTCTCTTTCACTCCCGGTAGCTCCTTGCATCTTAGTGGCATTATCACCTTGCTTGGGGTGAACTGATTAAAAAAAAAAAATGAATTTAGAGGAAGATACCAAATACACAATTGGATATATATTTTTATGAACTGAGTTTTTCTGACAAACTCCAAAAATTTTAAATAACCAGTGATCCAAATTACTTCTTCTACCATGACCAATATGCACCATGTTTGTGAGTAGGGTGCAGGCAGTTCAAATAAAATTCTTTGAGGAATGCAAACCATCACAAGAGGAAATCATACAGAAGTTAGTAAAAGTAAGCAAGAAGAAAAGACAAAACATAAATTGCAAGAGGACAGAATATATTGTTGTCAGCAAAAAGGAGGACCCAACATGCAAATTACAAATTGGACATGACAAAACCAAGCAAGTACAAAAATTTAAATATCTAAGAGGTGTTTTTTACAGAGGATGGAAAGTCCAATACCAAAATCCAAAGGCATATTGGGATAGCAAAAGATGCCTTCCGAAAGTTAAGCAAAGTATTAAGAAAAAGGAAAATCTCACTAGAAACAAAAAAAAGAGTACTTAACTGTTACGTAATATTGGTTCTCCTCTATGGCAATTAATACTGAACAATCTCCTCACAGATGAAAGAAAGGCTTGAAGCAACAGAAATGTATTTCTACAGAAGGATGCTGAGAATACCAGAGACTGAACATGTGAGCAATGGTGAAATTTTAGAGAAAATGGATACAAAAAATCTCTTGTACTTATCATCAAAAAGAGATAGTCAAAATTTCTAGGTGACAGAATAAGGAAAGATGTCTTAGAAAATTTAACACACATAAGACATATAGGAAAAGAGGAAATTAGTGCATAACCTTCCTAATGAGCTTGTGTAGATGACTGGCAAACCGGGATTGGGGGAGACAAAATTTATTAAGAGCTACAAAGGACAGGAAATTGATCAGCCATGATCACTCTCATCCTGAAGAAACATAGAGGAAAATGTTTGAGACAAATGAGGCCCAGTGTTTTTCTTTTCTTTATTTATATTTTATATAATCATGTTGCTTTTATTGAAAGTCGAATTCCAAATTTGTGTTTGATGTAGGTTCATTCCATCTTCATAGTGAATAATATTCACATATATTGGAAATCTGACAATTCCCATGTGCCTGAAGTAGACATCATTGTGAAATAATTATATGATAAATTGAATAATCATCAGTGTTAAAGCCAAATCTGAGTGAAATAAAAATGATATCCATTTACTTATGTCATGGACCTGGGTGTACTGTATTTCTATGTTTAAATTTCTGTTTGCTCAATCAATTCAGTATTTTTCAGTGTGCATGTATATTTTAATACATGTTGTATGTATCTATATCTATCTGTCTTTCTCTCCCTCTATCTCTTTATATATATATATATATATATATATATATATATATATATATATAGCAGGCAGCAATCCTTCTTTCATACAAGTTTCATTAAATATGACAGACAAGGTGCTTTGATTAATTTTGTGTGTATATATATATATATATATATATATACACATACATACATACAACAATCTATTTCTAGTTATCAGTTAATATATTTTAACCTTGAAAATGGATAAATGTATAGCCAAAAGTGCTCAGAAAAAACATTTGGACAGTTTTATATAATTTATCTACTGAAAAGAAAAGCTTATAAGATCACATAAGAAATTATATAAAAACTTAATCAAAGCACATTGTCTGTCATATTTAATAAAACTTGCATATATATATATATATATATATATATATATATATATATATATATATATTCTAAATTTTTAAAACAATATCATGATTTTGTTATGTGCATTTACAAGACATTTTAGCTGGATTTTTTATCTGAAAATTTTTTTTGCATAATATTCAATCTATGTAATTAATATGTATTACTGACTTACCACAAAGAAAGAAGTGGATTGTGTCAAATTATTTGCTTTGAAACATGAAAAAATCCAGCTAAAATGTCTTGTAAATGCACATAATGAAATCATGACATTGTTTTAAAAATTTAGAATTATATATATATATATATATATATATATATATATATATATATATATATTAAAACAGTTAGGATTACACCATAATATTGATGATGATCAATAAAACATTGAGTTCTCTCTGTCTCTGAGGGACACCTGTGTTGTCCTGAGTGGCTACTCATCTAGATCCTTTCATACTAACACAGGTGTCCCTCAGAGCTCCATCCTTGGTCCTACTCTGTTTTTAACTTTCATTAGTGACTCTCCTGATGACATCAGCTCTCAACTTTGCATCTACACTGATAACACAACCACTTACTCCTGTCTTGATAGTAAGGTTGATCAGTCTGACAAGGCCAAAATGGCAGCTGATGTCTAAAACATCCTCAAGTTTATTGTTAATTGGGGCAAAAGATAGCTTGTCAATTTTAATGCCATCAAAACTAAATTTCTCTCCATTAATCATCTGAGAGACCCTTCTTGCCATCCAAAAGTTAGGATGTCTCCAGACTCATTTTTGAGCTGATCCATTTTTTTCTAACAAATCATGAAATTAAAGTTGTCCTGAATGGCCACTCAACTAGATCCTTTCACACTAACTTTCATTTCATGGTTTGTTAGAAAGAATGAATCAGCTCAAAGATTAGTCTGGAGACACTGTAACTTTTCAGCTTGTGGAGAAGACCTGTATATCAGACTCTGCTACAGCCCAGGCTTCATTATTTTGGTAGACTCTTTCCACAATTATCATCAGTATATCTACAGTTGACCTGGAAAAACAAAAGCCATATTGCTTGTCTAAGAAAAGGCCCTTTGATGAGAAATGATGAACCAATTTAGCATTGATTGGGGCCTCTAGGAGTCTCCCCAAAAGAGGTAGAAAGCTAATAGGCTGATAGTTGGAAAGATCAGATAGTTCACCAGAGTTCTTAAAAATAGGACAACAAACTATGACTTCCAGCAGGCAAGAAAGCAAGAGGCTGTGAGGCATTTATTATACAGTTTAGAGAGAACAGGAACTATTTCCAGAGCACACTTCTTAATGACTATTACAGGAATACCATTAGGTCCACATGCTTTGAGGGGGTCAAGGTGAGAGATGATAGCAGAAACCATAGATGGGGTTATATACATATCACTCAATGGAGATTCACTTCTGAGAAGTTATGCAGGGCTATTCCAGATGAATCAAGAGTAGAGTTTGAGGAGAATTTATGGGAAAAGCATTCAGCTTTATCAGCAGAAGAGGATAACACCTCAAATTGATTGAAGAGTTGGGGAACAGAGACCTTGCACTTATTTAATACACTATTACAGAGCTGCCAGTAATTATGAAAGCCAAAGTTGCTTGAGGCTATGTGATGCTTTATTCTCTTGGCAAACAAGAACTTAGCTCCTTGAAAGACTTGCTTACATTTATTACAAGCAGTAACGAATAGGCACTTTGTATGACAAGAGCTGTCATAGCTGAAAATAGTGGTTCCTGTGTGCTATAGTGGATGAGCATGCTGGAGTGAACCATGGAGAGGATTGCAGTTTCACCTGGTATTTCCAAGAAGGGATGAAAGTGTCCATAATGGCTTTGACCCAATAAGAAACTTCAGTGGTGTAATTTTCCATTGGGAGGTTGAAGATATCACTCCACTGGGTATCATGAAGGAAATCATGGTGTGAGTCCCAATCAATATGCTGGTAATAGAAGGGGGTCTTATGGATAGGGGGTTCCTGTTTAATAGATGATTGGAATGAAATATGAATAGTTACCACAGAATGGTCTGAGTTACCAAGAGGGCAGTATTGTGAAGCTCAACAAAATTGGAAGAGGTAAGAAATAAATCAAGTAGAGAAGCCTATTGCTTAGTTTTGCTAGGGAAATGAGTAGGGAAGTCCACGATTTGAGTAAAGGATTGACCAGTGGAAAAAATTAATGTCTGAATATTGGCAACATCAGTGCCTTTAGAATGTTTCAGCCACATGTCATGATGGGCATTAAAGTCACCTGACAAGTGCCAAAGATGTTCACAGATGGATGAAGAGAAAGTGTCTTTTCTATATTGTCAGCTGTTGCGACAAATATACTGCAATTTTAGGAAGAGGAGTAGTGATAAAAATAAAAGAGATAGATAACAAAGTTTAGTAATGAAAGGTGGAAGCACATGAAAGAGATAACTCCCTGGGTATCAGAAGATTATCCTGGATGTAAACACCAAGGCCATGCATGTGAATTCTGGAATCTTTTCAGCAAAGGGGAAGATACCTTTCAACCAAAACTTCATTGGTAGCAATAGAAGAATTCAAGTTAGTTTCACAAACAGCAAAGATATCTGGTGACCATTCCAGGAGAAAAGTTTCTATGTTGCAGAATTTGGAATGGATACCATGAATATTGGAGAAAGAAAGGTTGAGGTAGATAGGTGTTTTTTTCTTTTTTTGTTTGCTGGTTTAGTTGTATTTCTTTTTGTTGCAATTTCCATGAGATTTATTTTGAGGAGAGAAAAAAAAAGACACCCATAATTATCAATATCAGTCATCAGTGGCAATATAAACCAGCCAGTGTGTGGCTAAGAGCAGAGCATAATGTGGCCTCAGGGTTTCTCACCGGAAATACATGCAGAAATATCTAC